TGACGTGTATGTAAACACACGTGCTCACTCTATGAGAAGCAAACGTTACTAATATTTAATTTGAGCCGTCCTCCTTTAGGGGGCGCATGGTAGCTCAAATAATGATTCCTAAATTGAATTGCATGCAAATCTCGGATGAGTTATGCTACAAAATACTTAAAAAAAAAATGTATACAAAGATTTGTACATGGAAAAAAAAAATCCATATCCAGTATTCACAAATAATTGTGTTTGCTCGATTATCCGACCAGCGGTGAGAAAACTAACAGGTTTAACATGATAACGCCATCTTTATGCTGCTCAGCATCAGCACTGCTCCTGCTCAGACACAAATAAAAGTGACTAGCTGTTCTGAAACTAGAATAAAAGGACAACAAAATGAAAAGTTTTGTTTTCTCTTGATGTAAGCTGTTTTGTTGTTGTTGTTTTAAACGTAGTACCAGAGTAACGTGCTTTGGTAGGTTATTTATGGTAGGTTATTTGCGGGGGAATTTTTACTTTACAAATTACAGACATGGCTGATTCGCACGGGATTAAGATCACAGACAACCTCCGCAATTATTACAAATGACTGGAGGTCACCAGGTAATACTAATCCCGTGTGAATAGGGCTTAAGTTAGCAAAATGGTGGAAATCGCTTACAGCGTCTTTCGATAATACTATATATACTGAAGTAACAAGGTATTCTGCCAACATGGCACCTCTACATTTAAGAAGGAACATGAGAGAGAGACAGAGAGAGGGAGATGTAATGTAACATTGCACTTTTTCTCCTATCCTATACCATGTTTTCGTGTAACCCGCCGCTAGACGTACGCAACAGAGCACCACAGTTTGCCTATTAAATATTTTACAGTAGTCTCAATGTGTGCCTTTATTGTCATTGTAGTAGATGTTTTACTAACAAAATAGCTCTAAAGCGTGAGCACTCATGTGACAGTCGCACCGTTAGTGACTGACCAAAGGTCGCTCTGTCTTTCTTCCTAACCATTCGTTTCACCATGGCTCTTCGACACAACGTCTTGCTTTTCCTTTGCATTTTACCTTTTGCTAACGCACTCTACAAGCAATGGATTCCAGACACCAATTTTGAAAACGCTACCAACTGGGATAAAGGCTCTGTACCCTGCGGTAACGACCAAGTTGTGTTTTTAGCTCAGAGGAAAGTATCAGTGTATGTAGAAACGGCTCACACTATCACTGGAATGAGCTTGCCGGTGGATGGAGAACTGATTCTGGCATCTGGCGCTGGGTTTACTGTAAGAGAGGGTGGAGATCCTGGTTGTGGATCTGGGGTCACGGCACACTTTAAAGACCCTGAATCTCGGAAGTGGTTCGACCCATCGCTGTGGGTGGCTGCGACCACAATCGACGACCTGCACAGAGGTACATATCAGTTTTCAGTCCACGAGGAGAGTGTCCCGTGCCAGTATGACGACGTGGTATTTCGAGAGGGCACCTCATTCCGTGTGGACGTTTCATCAGATCATGACATGCCCGTGAAGAGTGTGTCTGTACTTGGGAAGAAGTTCACCAGCAGCTCTGAGTTTTCTCAGTACCTGTCATCCAATTCTGGCAAGCTGCAATTCCATGGTTCCTCATCCCTTAAAGTTGGCGGCTCAAGCTGTGACGATAGCACAGGGTGCATTTGTGACAACTCTGGAAATCGAGACAGGATCTGTTCAAATGTGAAATGCGATTCGTTGGAGTGCAAGAAACCCCTGCACCCGGTGGGACACTGCTGCGACGTATGTGGTGCCGTCGTGAACGTTCAGTTCTCTTCGAGCTTCAACTTTGAGTTGTATCGCCAACGGCTGCAGCACCTCTTTCTCAGCCAGCATAAATATGAATCTATACAGATGGCCTTGTCGAAAGTGTCAAAAGAGCAGAGGCTGCTGCGAGTGATTCCTTTCGGAGCCACTCAGGAGATTCAGGTGTTGCTTCTGGACCAGAAAACAGGTCAGGACGCCGGGAAGCTGGCTGAAGCTCTCGCTCGAGACGTAGTGCAGGACGTGCACAACCACGGCTTGAACATCGGTATCTCCAGCGCAGAGTTCCAGGCATCATCCGGGGCGAGCAGCAGCGAGGCGGCTGGAAACAGTGCAGGGGTCGTGGTGGGCGCAGTGCTGGGCTCCCTGCTTGGAGTGGGTCTACTTGCAGCCGTTGTTATGCTCTACCGTCGCGGCATCGTTACGATACCCAGAATGCCTAGCATTCCCTCACTCAGCAAGTGGAAGAACAGTAGTGAGATTGGGGAGCTTGGTGGCCCCTTGGACCATGGCTTTGACAACCCCATGTTTGACAAACTGACTATGATGCCTGAGGAACCAGGGCTGTACGGGACAGAGATGATAAACTCGATAACCCTAACTCAGTCAGGAGTGCATTTCGTAAATCCTGTTTATGATGAAACTGATTTCAATGCATGAACGGTGTAGTATCAGCTGATCTGATGGGGATGTGATGACAAAATAATATGAATAAAAACATAACAACTTAACATAACAATCACTGATGAACTAATCTCAAAATTACACAAATTGAAGAAAAAAAAAATACACTACAGTATGTTGTTCACATGCTGAATTTTATACCACATAATCATATTTCTCTTAATAAAAAATTACAAGCATGTTATCTGAGATTGTTGGCTATATTATTGTTACATTACTATTTTTAATTCAGGGATACAAACATGCATTTGATTAATAAATAAATAATACTACGTGCAATTGCTAGCCTTCCCCACGTGAAGTTTGTGGTCACAACATTTAGCTTTCAGATATCAAAGAAATCTCTCCATGGTGACAAACAAGTTCAATAATGAAATCTCAGATTTGAAGGTTACAACTTCAAAGTGTAATGCTGGATTCTTGCCATGTTGTTAGATTGCAAGACTGACTCGGTTTACGGCAAGTACTTAATTATTCAACTTTAAAATGAAAGATTCTTCAGTGGTACTTTGCATGCTCAGCAATCAAGAACCTATTTGGGCTTCTTGAGTTGCTAAAAGTCTCTTTGGATTTTTAAAAAAATCCTTGATGTTACATTGCAGATTAGTTCCGCCCTTTTGTTTTTTTAATGAGTGGTTTCCAGGTCTTGGGGACCCACAGCACTGCACATTAGTATGTTGTATAGAGCTGATGATCGAAATCTGCTCTGTTAAATAAGGTAAGCTGCAAGCATAAAATAAAATGCGCAGTGCTGTGGGGAAATGTGCAGGACCATGACTGAAAATCTCTTTAAATCACCAGTACCGAGACTAAACTGCAATACCCTGTTTTGATTTTTACTAAGAGTGTAATTCCGAAAGGTGGCGTCTATGTTACATACATGGCTCTGATGCAGTCAGCAGAAATTCTGTATTCAGTGTTGTGTAGATCTAGAGGTTGTGGATGTTGTGTTGATCTCGTTGCAGCCTCAGGTAAAAATCTAAACTCCTGTCCTGACATTGTACATGTTAAATGTTATATAGCCTTCCCTCATGACCTTACTATCTGTTGTTCAGTGTAAGGTGGAGCTGTCAACTTGAGGATGTGCATATCGCTTTGTGTCTTCCGGACAGTTCTATTGAATCACACAGGAGCTTTATCCTCTGATGTCAGGCAGGATATTTAGCATAATTTGCATAATTTCCTAAGGGAACATTGTTCATAATATCTTTGTTGGTTTCTACAGCCATCACATTTACAGCCTTTCCTTCTCTGAAGGCTCTGAACAGCCCTGCAAGAGATCACACGTATAATAAAAGTTTGCCGACCCCTATTTATTGCAGTTTGCACAAAGAGAGGTAGGATAAAAGTAGATGCAGCACTTTAATACTTACCAAAATGTATTGACCAGATCATTATTACGTAACACGTTATTCAAAACAAATGATCAGACAAACGAAAACACATTTTGCAAAAATTTCAAGATTATGAATTTAATAGTTACATACTAACAAATAACATTATGAATAAAGTTGATGTATGCATTATAAAACATGGCTCGAAATGCTGTTTGTGCGCATAAATATTGAAGGAAGACATCATGTAAAAACTCAAGCACAGATAGGCTTTCAAGAACCTGCTGTACTGCAGACCTGTGCATGAACCATACTGTTTACTGACGATATACCTCAGTTCAACCAGAAACTACTGTTGTGATAAACGAAATGACTCGGCGGTAATGAGGTCTATGCTCCTCAAGTTAAAGCTCCAGGATCAACAAAGGGTTCTCTGTGTACACCAACTCAACCATGCGTCACACAGCTCGTCCAATTACTCGTGTTTCAAAAAAACACGTTATGGCCAGATACATGTAAACATTAAAGTATGTGTAGCATAATGTGAGGGTGCTTTTATCCTACATACAGTCTCCACAACAGCAACTCTGACGTCAGATTCTGTTAATCCATTTACTGTACATTTCACCATTTTCAGCTCACAATTCAGCGAATCCAACAACTAACCAAATCTGTGTATTAACAAGAACAGCAACGGTACAATTACCACCAAGTGTAGCACATAATGAGCTTTGTATGTCTAACATTTGTCAACTTATATACACACGTTATGTCTTAAATGACATTTTGTCTAGAAATGTGCAGGCACGCAAAGCACAGGCACTGAGATATATGCCCCATGGGGGCAGAAATATTATGAGATTAAGAGTGCGTGTAATGAGATGTGACCTCATTTTCACTCTCTGCATTTGCCACATGACACGTGATAACCATTAAATTTGAGCTGAATTACCATTTTTTATGCATATTGCGTTGTTTGTGTCAGTTAAAGAGGTAATGTAGCCAGCTATTAGAGAGCTCATATTTCAGCTATTTCAACATCGGTCCTCTATAAACCTCTCTATAAAAATTTTATGACAAGAGACAATCTCTTCATACCACAGGTTGTTTTCATTTCATTGACTTCCCCAATTAAACACACCTGAACCAGCTAATCGAGGTCTCCAGGATCAGTAGAAACTTCCAGAGCTAAACTCTGGAGTTAAACTGGCCCTCCAGGAGCAGGACTGTTTTCGACTTCTCATTCTTTAGCATATCTGGTGCATTGGCCAAATGTTGATGAAGTAACCATCACAATCTTTAAAGAAAAATGGAACACCTGTTCTGTAAACTCTTGTTTTGTTTCAACATTCACTGAGGTAAAAACAGACATCACTGTTGAAAGAACAGCATATGTTGGTTAGGTATGTTTTGAAGCATGGCAGCTAGTTTGAGCTGGTTTAAGATGGTCCTAAGTAACTAGCTCCTGCACAGGACCAGCTCATAACCAGCTGCCATGCTTCAAAACATACGTAACCAGCATATGCTGTTTTAAAAAAAAATGGATTAAGGGCAGAACTTCACAACTCAGTGTCTTCTATGCAGCCTGGGTCCTCAATGGTCTCCAATCGGCGCTGACAGGTGTCTATGATCTTCTTGCGAGGACCCAAGGGGATGTGAATGCTCTTGAGGTCATCATCTGAGCACAGCAACAGGGCATCCAGGTCAATCTTTTCTCTTTTGAAGATAGGAATGAACTCGTTCATGCTCTGTGTGGCTAGGAACACTTCCAGAGGGCTATTGTCAGGCTCATCATCGTCATCCAGCCCCAACTCCACCTCTTCCCATGGCAGCTCCTGCATGTTCCTCTCTTGCAGACTATGGGCGCTTCCGATGCTATCGTCATCCAGACTGGGCACGCGATGCATCCGGCTGTGGAGGCGCACATTATCGACCCGTTCGCTGCCTGCAAGGCTGCCTTCGTCTCTGCTCCCGATGCCAAAAAGTCCACCGCTCACGTAGTTGCGGCGGAAAACCATGGTGCCCAGGCCGGGACGGTTGAAGAGCGAGTCGTGCCCCGAGTCGGTGCTGATCACCGAGTAGTCCACATCATGACCGTGCAAGTCGGGTTCGCTGATGGCACGGGAGACAGCATCCTCGTTGTCACTAGGGAACATGTCACGTATGTTACGACGAGACCGGTCCTTAGGGTTGACGTACGTTCCCTGCTTCAGAAACATGACGTCGTTGCCTAGTTGTAGGCCAGATAAAGAGCGGACACTCTTCCTGCCATCTTCGTAAATCTTGAATGTCCCGTCACCTTGCTTTTTCTTCTCAAGCTTCTTTTGGATCTTAGTTTTGCCCCTGGCTGTGGTGTGGAGAGTAGCCTAGAGCGAAAAAATAGTACAAGTATAGCTTTAGTGAATGTGGCTTCTAACTAAAGATCAAGGGGCAGTTTTATTAGCAGCTTGCGCCAGCGCAAACGTCTTTTGGCGTTGAAATAGTACTTTCTAAAGACGCGCAATGAAGAATTAGCACTGAAAAGGCATGGCCCTGACCTTACTGAATATGCATTTGTAGGAGTTTCCCTTTCAAAATTTATGGGGGGAGAGTATTTAAATGAATCACGCAACGAGATTTACTAACATTTGCACTCGTCAAATTATGGTATTTGCGCTTGAAATGACTGCATTTGTTGTTGTTAGGAGGAGGCACCACAGGGAACAGAGCACGTGGTAGAAGGGAGAGGATTTTTTTCCACACGTACTAATTTATTTGGAATGCCAGAATAACACATTATCCGAGCATATCGTTTGCCAAGCCACGTTATTTTTAATTTGCTTCAGGAAATAAAAGACGACTTTGAACCCTCAACTAGGAGTCACGCAATACCAGGTCTATCAAACCTTCTTGCAAACCTTCATTTTTTGACCTCCGGTGCTTTTCAATGTACTGTGGCTTCTTTATTTCTTTATTTGCGACTATGCTAATTTGTGCTGCGCTTGGTATATTGCGTTGGTCGATATGTAAATGAGATGTTGCGTCTGTGTTCTTTAAGTTGCACTTTGTTAGTAAATCACCCGCAGAAATTTCCACGCTCATCGGCGCTGTTTGGGAATTGCGCTCTTGTGCTACTTTGCCCTGTTTAGTAAAACTGGCCCCAAATATTTAAGCATTGCAGAGAAATCTGACCTGGGAATATGGCACACTAGTGGCAGTGTTGAAGTGGTGTAGCTTGCGACTCAAGGTACTGCTGGCGTAGCTGGAGAAGCTCATGGCATCAGAGACCGATGCTTCCGTTGTCTCTCTCTGAAATTTACGCTCCATGCGCCGTCGGTGCTTCTGCTGCATTTTAATGCATTCCTTGATGCGGCGTTCAGCATCACGGAAAGCCCGGTCCTTCAGTTTGCTTACTAGCTTGGGGTTGAGGGCTGTCTGCTTGGCAGCGATGGAGTCCAGATAGCGCACGCAAGCCATGTGGTTCTTGGTGGCAGCCATGTCCAGTGGCGTGTGGTAGTCGTTGTCCAGGCACCACACGTTGGCACCAAACGACACCAGGAAGGACAGGCAGTTGAGATGGCCATTGGAGGCAGCCAGCTGGAGCGGCGTGTTCCCCCATATGTCACACTTATCTGGGTTCCCCCTGAAAGTAGATCATGCCGTGATAGATCCATATCAGGTTTATCATTCATTTAACAGTGACCACTACTCAGACCCCATAGCCTATATATATAACACATATAATTGACACTTTTATGTGTAAAGTGAAACTGGATATGGCTTTTCTAAGCTGTCATTATCACTTGTTTTATATCCCAAGAATAGCTGAAACCACACTGGCAATCCCATGATTTTTTGATTATGTCTTCAGCACTGGCTTGTCATCCGTGAAGGCCAGTCTATAAAAAACTGAAACAACCTGCTCTACACATTTGATATAGAAAATCATCATAAGAAGGTCATAAGAAGGACAAACAGGTGTGCTATATAACCCATACAATCTCTTATTTTTCTTACTTATATAAGTTTTCTTTTGTAAGCCAGTAATCCAGGTTTATCTCTCCTAATGCCGATCCAATCCACTGGATCGGTAATTTGATCGCCTGCTTGAATAAGAGGGAGCTTGTTGGGTGTCTCCTTTCTAGCAAGAATGATAGAGTTGCATAGGTGATGTCACACTAAATTCCTGTGTTCAGACTGTAACCACAGGCCTGATCAACAAAAAACAATTCTAAAACTATAAGAAATGTTCTAATCTATGACTGCTAGAAACTATAGTCCATATAGTACATAGTGACTGTTCATAATATAACTATTCAATATGCATTCTAGAAAATGCATTTTAAATACACATTCATTTAAATCTAGTTTGTTGACGTGTTGTGTTGAGATATTTACAAACATATAGATACAACTGTATAAAAAGCTAATTTGCATCCAATTCTATTTTAAATATTATCACATATCTCTATTAGAACTCAGTATTAATGTTACTTGCTATATGGCACTCTTTGCAATGACTCAGTACAGTGGGTTGCATTACGATATGATAATTGGATCGCTTGAAACTAAATTCAGACTGAAACGTTACGTTTTTTTTGCTTTACTACTGTACAGTATAGCCCCACCTACAGGTGACTTGCTGGTTTTAGAGTTTAACTGTTGAGAATAATATGAATGCACATATAAAAACATTTTGAAAATATCATTTTAAAAAGTGTACAATATAGTATATATTATAGTGAAAAAAAGTGATATATATATAATTGTATGACAAAATATGTCATATCATATATATGATTTGTGCTGCCCTAATTTGCACTTTACAGTTAAGCTGTATCTTTCTGTTTTCTGCATCGAGCACTAGTTGAGCCTACTTAATATTTGATGGGTGACAGGTGAAGCCTTGCAGTGATGCATTATGGATGAGAAAAGCTGCAAGGTTTTCACAGTTAGCAAAGGGAGCTGTGTGCATTATTGGGTCAAGCCAGAATTTGGATTATGACCCGCTAACCTGCGTGACCTTGATTTTTGGCATGCCAATACTTCCATCAAATATATCAGCATACAAATGTATTGCCTTATAAAATGAGAGAGACTTATAGATCCTTATCTAACACAATCAGACACAATGTACTGCAGCTGGTCTAGTATTAGTGGGGTACAAATGACAGTTCATAACTCATGGTCTGCTTGAGTAATAAACTGTCATTCTTACCCCACTAATACTGTCAGATAATAAGACATATGACTGCCAGAACATTGTAAAATTAGGGGAAGAGGAGTATAATATTCTATGTTATCTCCTAACATGACGTAACGAATTACTGCTACATGATACCCACCACCAATAAACGCCTATTTTTTTTAACCTTCGTTACTATTTTTACCATAATTTTACTGTCCCTATTTGTTAACAACTTCTAATAGCATGATTCATGACAGGTCGGATCCTGTTCTCATGTATCGTAATGCACTAATGACCTCTTGAAAACCTTTTCTGTCAACGTTGGGCATTATCGTGGGAAATCGTGCTTCAGGGATCAGTCAGTGCCATGCTGTGCATTGAATTAATCACTAGAGAAATGAAACACCCAATTTAAGGGATTAATTACTGTATCCCTATGTGTACATGAGCATAAGTTGGCTCTAAGCACAGAAATGCGATGCTTGCTTTGCTTTATGTGGAGGAGATCATGCGATAGCCAGTGGCTTTCAATGGTCAAACAGTCCGATTATGCATTCAGGACTGCCGAACAGTGGGAGAACTTTTGACAATTAAGAGCTTTTATAAAGGGCCTCTAGGTCCGCAGAGGAAAGCAGGTCAGCTCTGATGAAAGCTTTTGTGTGTTCGCTTTTATCTGTCTTCTGTCATCGGCATTAACAGAGCGGCCGTAGATCACATAATGTGGAATTGTTTATGTGTTGTTAGTGATAAAACAACTCAAATGACACTGCAAATGAATAAGGGCCACTAAGAAGTAGCAAGGGCAGTATATCCGTCTTAAGGTGCATTCAAGGTATACATTTTTAATCAGTCCATGCATTAACAGGGAATTGAACCTATGACCTTGGTGTTGTTGCTAATGGCATGCTCTGGCAGTCCGAGCTACAGGAACATGAAAATGTGAAAACAAAACAAAAAATCAACACATTAAAATACCACTAAAAAAAGTATTTTTCAATGCGAATGTCATGCTGATAGTTTGATATGCCCCAAAAAACTTGCAGTTGATTTTTCTACCTGGTCTGACTCTCAAAAAATGTCTTTTGTTGATGGTGTTGATTCATTTTTTTAAATTTTTTTTACCTAAAGCCAGTTAATTTCCTTGTTACCAGAAATACATTTTTGGGTTACTTTAAACAGGTTTTTACAGTGAGAAAATATTATGTTAATATGACATGGTCCTCTGCCAAATTGAGACATGTTACATAACACCACCATAAACATCACGAGAAAGGGTTATTTAAGGAAGTAGACTGGAGAGAACAGCACGTTCCACACCCAATTAACCTAATAAAATCATCAGCCCTGTGAAGCACCAGCCGTCGTGACCAGTGTTGCGGAAAGTTACTTTTAAAAGTAATGCATTACAATACTGCGTTACTCCCTAAAAAAGTAACTAATTACGTTACTTAGTTACTTTTTATGGAAAGCAGGAGAAGGTTCAACACTCTTCAGCAACACGATTTCTCCCAATATGGGGACAGGAGACTTGTCAGTCAATAAATGGAAAACAAAGTAACTGGAGTTACTCAGATATTTTCTTGTAACTTAAAAAAGTAATGCGTTACTTTACTAGTTACTTGAAGAAAAGTAATCTGATTACGTAACTCGCGTTACTTGTAATGCGTTACCCCCAACACTGGTCGTGACACAAGTATTGGGTTGTGATGATATACAGTAACGGTGACCAGAGATCCACGCCATGCCGGTTCCTGCGTTAGCCATTTCATATGAGGCGTACATACGGGTTAAACTTCCGCTAAATCCACAAACTAAACCAGTTCGTGCAATTGATAAAATGTAGGGAATGACGCGCAGTCTTACCCTCTCCCTACAATCAGCCGCAGCGCCTCCAGGTTGCCGTGGTAAGCGGCCCATAGGGTCGGTGTCATGCCATCTTCATCCGGAGCGTTCAGGTCCTTCCGCGTCGCTTCTTTCAACAAGTCAAGGTAGCCATCCCGAGCTGCCTTGTGGTATTTGTCATTCATGGTGATCTCGAACCTCAGCCTCCATCACTCTTTCACTGGCTCTGTGCATTAGGTCTGGAACCCCTGACCGGCTGCAGCGCGCGTAAGGCACTTGGAGTTTCCAGGGACACCTCAGACGCGCTGCGGCTCGTGAGGGTGTGGCTTCAGCTCGTTCCTTCCAAAAACAACCTTTTCCCCATTTGGGATTCGAAATAATGTATTATTGGGTGAATGAAAGACATTCTTTAAAATAGCCCTGCTTCCACCCCCAAACTCACAAGCACACGAACAGCATTAAGAAACAGTTGTTTATTGCTTAATAAACATTCAAATAAAGTGGCACCAAAACGCACAAGGACTCTGAAACTACAACTAAATAAATACAAAAAAAAAAAAAAAAAAAATTA